GGCCAGGACTCTGGAGTGTGAGCGAGTGTGAGCGAGTTGTCCGGGCCAGCAAGCTGGTTGCCATCCACCAGTGGGGGTGTCCGAGGCATTTCCCTTAGGTCCAAAGATGTGCAGCTTGCGATGGGACCTCAGGCACCGACTTGGGCAGAACATAAAAGACTGAACTATCAGATTTTAAAATATGGGCCTATTTTAAACGAGAAACACTCTGATCTTAAGTTCCACTTGTATGATATTTTAGCACACCTGAAATTTCGGGTTAAATGTTGTCTCTTAGGTAATCAACAATGAATCCTATCTTATCTTCAGACCCCAGTTTGGGCTTCCATTGCAACTGGTCTAGCCCAGATTAAATGAAATGTATTCAGCTGCCTTCCATGATGTGCACTTAGGGGGCTGTGCTCCCTTGCACTTACTTTGGGAGGTAATAAATCACAGTTTGGGCTTAGAATCAGGAGAACTGTGTTCAAAACGAGGCCAGCTACCTCTTGCACTAGCTTTGCTTACCTGTGTTTTGCAATAATATGTTAGAGGGGGGAAGTTCTGATATCCGGAACATCTGAAGCAAGTCTTAGAAGTACAGGGATTTCTAGTCTGACAATTCAACTTCCATAAAACCAAGGTACATTTATGTAAATTTGTTTCACAGTGTTTTCCTCTGAATTCGCTCACTCTGAATTTTTAAGGGTTATTAGTTAATTCATTTGACCCCCCAAACAATGTGGGGGCTAGGGGTGCTGACCCCCCATGCAGTTGAAAATCCACATATAAGTTTTGACTCCCCAGAAGTGTAATTACGGATAGCCTACTGTTGCCTCGAAGCCTTACTGATAACATAAAGAGTTAACATATTTTATATACTGTATGTATTGACCGCCGTATTGTTACAATAAGGTAAGCTAGAGAAAAGAAAATGTTATTCAGAAAATCATGAGAAAATACATTCACAGTGCTTTATTTATGGGAAAAAAAAGCTGCATATAAGTGGACCCGCACAGTTCAAACTTGTGTTTTTCAAGGGCCAACTGTATATAGAATTGGGTTTCTGCAGTGTTTATTATGGTGCCATGTTTTAACATGCTTCTGCACAGCAGCACATTGACAAGGGCTAAATCAGGGTGCCTGGGTGGCTCAGTCAGTTAAGCATTGACTCTTGATCTCAGCTCAGGTCTTGATCTTGGGGTCGTGAGTTCAAGCCCCGCGTTGGGCTCTGTGCTGTGCGTGAAGCCTACTTAAAAAGGGGGGAGGGGCTAAAGTGGTTTATTATAGATCAGGCACTGTTCTAGGCACTGACATTCAGTCTCATTCAGTCCTCACAAATATGCTGTAAGGCAGGTGTGATAGGCTGGTGGACATGTGCGGTTGGAACAAGGCTCCCTGACATCACATTCCTCGGAGTCTAGCTGTACAACCTTAGCTAAGTCACCTTATCTCTTGGTACCTCAGTTTCCTCAACTGGGAAACAGGGAGGTGATAGTGGCTTGCTTGAAGGGTTGTTATCAAGGCTGCACTGCACGTCATAAGCAGTGTATATGTTGACATCATCTTTGTCTTTGCAGATAAAGTAAAGCACAGAGAGATCAGAGTAACTTGCTCAAGGTTTCCCAGACAGTAAATGGTGGTCCTTTGATCTGACCCCAGGCAGCTTAATTGGAGAGGCTGAGTTTGGGAGCATACGTGTATATTTCAGTGAGGCCTTATGCTGCATACTTTGACCCATGAGTGCTTGTAAATTACTTCCAGTACTGCGGGAAATCTGGTTTGCACACAAAAAAAGCCCTGTCGGATATTGAAAAGCAGTTTGGCTGGGCAGTAGGAGGCCTGGGTTCTATTTCTGTCCTGCATCAAGGGTGGGTTACCCAGCCTCTGGGGCTGGGATTGTTTCATTTGTCAACAAGGGGGCTGGAGTAGATAAGCTGCTCTCTGGCTCAGAGGCCCTAAGATACAAAGTTCCTTGAACTTGAGTGAACAAAAACAGATACGGGATACTTCCTGTGTAGTTTTATTATGAGAATTTTATCAAAGCCCATTTATCATGTGGGATTATACTGAGAGCCCACTGCCTGAAGATGACCACCTTGACACAAAATTTTCCGGGCTCTTCTCTAGTGACCGAGAGCCTGGTCTTCCAGGAGATCAAGCTGGCACTGTGACTTTGGGGCAAGTTACCAGGCACCTCTGTTATCCTGAATTGTGGATTTCAACTTTGGCCCCTGTGATGGTTAATTTTATGTCAACTTGACTGGGCCGGCCACAGGATGTCCAGACAAGTGTTCAGACACTTCCTGGGTGTATCTATGAGGGTGTTTCTGGATGAGATTCACGTTGGAGCCTGTAGACTGAGTGAAGCTGATTGCCCCTCCCAATATGGGTGGGCCTCATCCAATCAGTTGAAGACCTGACCATGAAGGTTGAGCAAGTGGGAATTCCTCTTGCCTGACTGTTGGACTGGGATATCAATCTTTTACAGCCTTCAGACTCAGACTGAAAAGGAGACTACCTAAGAGGGCACTTTCCCTGCCTGACTGCAGACCTGGGATATTGGTCCTTTCCAGCCGTTGGGCTTGAACTGAAACTCAACTCTTCCGGGGTCTTGGGCCTGCTGACTTTTGAATTGTAACTGACATCATTGGCCCTTCTGGCTCTCCGGCCTTCCACAGATCTTGGGACTTCCATAATAGTGTGAGTCAATTCTTTGTAACAAATCTCTGTATATATATAAATATATATGTATGTGTATATGTATATGTATCCTATGAGTTCTGTTTCTCTAGAGAATCGAATGCAGTTCTCCAGTAATTTTGCTTAAAAATTCTCCCACCAGCAATCAGTCTTGTTTTTTTTAAGATTCCATGGCTACTTTGCTACCGGTGGTATTGATTTTCTTTCTGCTATAAAATGTGATCCCCTCCTAGAGATCTAATGACACGTCTGGGCAGCGTCTGACGTGTCATGGTTCTCATGGGTGATTCTCCCACCTCGTCTGAACTTGGACGTCATGTGTCATCACGCTCGTCCTTGGCCTTCATAACCCCTAAGTTTACTTCGAGTTAGTCTGTGGCTTCAGGATGTTTAGGCTGATGGTACTAAGTGAGACAAGTGATGCCTGTGACAGTAAGAGAGGTGGCTTCCCTGTTTTTTGTGGGTAAATAAAACGAATAATCACAGGGCATCCTTGACATCTGGAAATATTTAGGTTTCTAGTCAAAAAGAAAATGGGTCCATCTGGGTTCGTTGATACAGCTTTTGGAACAATGAGAATTGGCCAGCCTGTGGACAAAGTCGTAGGAGCTGTGCCAGCCTGTCCTGATAGGATCCCCACGCAGTGTGCTGAAGAAACACCATGAAGGAAAAGGACTGGGAGAAGGAAAAAGCCATGGGCGTCATGGGCGGTGGGGTTCGCTACAGAAGGAGGCTGGTAGGGGCTCATAGCAGATGGAAGGCTGGGCAGGCAGAAAGTACACAATGAGCTGCCTTTTGGAGACTGGGGCAGACTGATGAGAGAGAGTGAGCGGATCTCATTTTGTTCCTGTGGGAACAAAGCATAAATAATGTGTTTCCATGTTCCCAGGAAGGTGGTGGTAGAACTATAAGGTGGGGCCTCCCCCGAAGCCCCACCCTGGGGTGATTTATGAGCCTGAGGCAGCCTGCCATAATTATGCTTGTGTCCCGTTGACTGAACTGACGTGTTTTGAGATTAAATTACAAGCTAGTATCCTGAAAGTGATTTGAATTCTTTGGAGCTAGATCTATTCTGGAACTCTTTAAGAGACCGTATGTTCTATCACAGTCTCCCAGTGCCTAAAACAGTACGTGGAGAATAGTGGTTACTTAATACATTCTTATCGAGTGGATTTAAAAGTCCGTAGGACATCAAAGCAGTATTCCCGTTCTTGTATCATGGACTTAAGGTCAAACACTGGGCATTTATTATTTTCCCATTTCATTCTATTATTCAGTATTCCAGAGGTAACCTGGAAGACCGTGGTTTACCTGAGTCAAGCATTGTCTCTCACACAAAACCTTTCGTAAAACCATCAGAGACGAATCAAGATTTTAAGTTTTTGAAAGTTACTAGTTTCTATAACCAAATTATAAAACATCCCTGAGCCCGGCCCACATACTTGGTAAAGTCTCATTAAATTAATCGGTACGGGGGCGCCTGGGTGGCGCAGTCGGTTAAGCGTCCGACTTCAGCCAGGTCACGATCTCGCGGTCCGTGAGTTCGAGCCCCGCGTCGGGCTCTGGGCTGATGGCTCAGAGCCTGGAGCCTGCTTCCGATTCTGTGTCTCCCTCTCTCTCTGCCCCTCCCCCGTTCATGCTCTGTCTCTCTCTGTCCCAAAAATAAATAAACGTTGAAAAAAGAAAAAAATTTAAAAAAATAAAAATAAAAAAATTAATCGGTACGTATATCACATAGTGGTAGACCTTGTCAATCTTACACCTTACCAACCATCTAAAAATCGATTTCACATTGATTCTAAATACATAATTATATTCTTTCTAATAGCAAACTCTTTGAACTTGCACCTTGCTCTCGTCCACCAGAATTTTGATTGAAAAGAAACAGTTCAGCTAGACGCGTTTTATAAGCAGTGTTAGAAGTGAGCCATGTCTGTGTGTCGATACTTTTTTTTTATGTATTTTGAGAGAGCACGTGAGCAGGGGGAGGAGCAGAGAGAGAATCCCAAGCAGGCTCCGTGCTGTCAGCACAGAGCCTGATGCAGGGCTCGAACCCAGGAACTGTGAGATCCTGACCTGAGCTGAAATCAAGAGTCGGACACTCAACTGACTGAGACACCCAGGTGCCCTGTGTGTCAATACTTCTGTCCATAGGAAAGCAAACTGGTGCAGAATGTTCTCTGGCTACAGTTCCAGGTATGAGAGCCTGTGCCCTTGGATGAGGCCCTTGGATGTGTATATGTGTCTGTGCAGAACATCCAGCACCTTTCCCTGATATCTGGAACCTGTGGCAGGGTGTCTAGCACGTTCTTTGCAGAGATGCTTGGAAGCGTCCAAGCTGGCTGGTTTTTGCTTCTTGACCCCACCAGGCCTCTCCCGGGCTGTGCAGCTGTGTGTACACATGGATGTAGAATCCAAACCCAGTAGGAAAAATTCTGCCTGCTGTGGAAGCAGCAGTTTATCTGGAAGGGGGAAAGAGGCCAGAGACAGAGGAGGAGGAATGAAGCTCAGGGTCAGTGACGTTAGGAAATTTTCACGGCATCAGATGCCAAACCGCATTACATTTTGGGTTTGGTATGCAGCGTGGATCGTTCACATAACACGTTCCTCGTTTTCACTGTCGATTTTGGCCCACGTATTTGTCCTCTCCATCCATTTCTTCAGTCATTCCACAAGTCTTTAGAAGCACCTGACCCTGTGTTTGTCACCTGCTGGCGAGGCCACAGCAGTATGCCTGCCTTCACAGCACTTACGGTTTGGTGAGGGACACAGGTGATCACAATGTCACGTAGTGTCGTGAAAGCATTGTATTAAAAAATTTTTTTTCTTAATTTTAGAGAGAGCGCGAGCAAGTGGGGATAGGGACAGAGGGAGAGAGAATGTTAAGCAGGCAGAGCCCACATGCAACCGACTGATTTTCTGTTCTGAATTCTCTGCAAAAAGTTCTGTTTGACTGTTGACAAGCAATAGAATTTTCCAGCCTGGGTCATTTATTATTTTTTTTTTTTAATTTTTTTTTTTCAACGTTTATTTATTTTTGGGACAGAGAGAGACAGAGCATGAACGGGGGAGGGGCAGAGAGAGAGGGAGACACAGAATCAGAAACAGGCTCCAGGCTCTGAGCCATCAGCCCAGAGCCCGACGCGGGGCTCGAACTCACGGACCGCGAGATCGTGACCTGGCTGAAGTCGGACGCTTAACCGACTGCGCCACCCATAGCCTGGGTCATTTAAAGATGGACACGGTTTCAGCAGGGACTGACTTACGGGCACTGCTGCTCAGTGTTGTGAGAAGGATTGGGGAATAGTGCAGATATTTCATTTTTTAGGAATGACTGTTAGAGAAGTCTTGCAAACCAGGGCTAATGCAGAGAAATACTTGGGTCTCCAGGGGAAGAGGAAAATGGCACCTCAGGGGTCAGTTCGGAGTTGGTAGCTGAATCAATGGAATTTACAAGACAATGCCTAAGGGCAACCTCTTTTACAAACCCGGCTTTTTCAGGCAAGCTTCTGTGGCCCACCCAGCCTCCCTCTGGGAAGGCCAGGCCAGGCACCTGGCCAGCCTGCCAGCCACCTCCCTCTATTCCCAAGACATTTCTCTGGTAAAAAAAAAAAAAAGGCATGAACTTCTTGCTTTTAAGGTCCTTGTGTCTTTTCTACCTTGTTTATCCTCCGATCTTTCTCCCCTTTTCTGTGTTTCTCTTCTGTGTTCCCAGCTCTGACACCCCCGCTCTCAAACTTTGCTTCATGGTTTTTAAATCTGCAAAGATAGGGGCACCTGGGTGGCTCAATCGGTTGAGCGTCCGACTTCGGCTCAGGTCGTGATCTCACAGTCTGTGAGTTCGAGCCCCGTGTCGGGCACTGTGCTGACAGCTCAGAGCCTGGAGCCTGTTTCAGAATCTGTGTCTCTCTCTCTCTCTCTCTCTGCCCCTCCCCCACTCATGCCCTGTCTCTCTCTCTCTCTGTCAAAAATAAACATTTAAAAAAAATTTTTTAATTAAATAAATAAAATTAAATAAATCTGCAAAGATAAAAATAACCCACCTATATAAGCCTGTGGACTTTTCTTTAAGTTCATTTATTTATTTTGAGAGAGAGAGAGAGCATGAGCGCAAGCGGGGGAGGGGCAAAGAGAGAGGGAGAGAGAAGATCCCAAGCAGGCCTCACGCTGTCATTGAGGAGCCCGATGTGGAGCTCGAACTCACGAACTGTGAGATCATGACCTGGGCCAAAATCGGGTCAGACGCTTAACCGACCAAACCACCAGGACCCCCTAAGCCTATGGACTGTGCATCACGGCTCCAGTGCACTCGGAGCCTTTCATTTTATACCTGCCCGAAAGCTGGCCCTCGGGGGAGACGCTGAGAACCCGGTGCCCGGGGCTCGCCTCACCCAGTGCAGTTTAGCTGGGCCTGGAGCCACGCCTGTACCCTGCCAGCCAGCTTTTTCAAATGCCCGGCTCGTTCTGAGCTGGAGGGGGAATGACCTCAGAGAACGGCTTCCCCCTGGGAAGGGATGAGAACTCCAGGTTCAATGTAACAGCAAGTCAGCAGCCACGCCCTGTGTTCAGGTACTTCCTTGCACCCTGCCGCTCACCTTTCAGCACTTCTGTGTCCCGGGTAATGGCCGGGAACCCAGTCTAACCCGTCAGGGGGACGCGCAGGTTCAGAGGGGGGAAGCCATGGTACACGAGGAGGTTGGGGAAAAAAAAAATCCTTACAGAACCGGGGTGTCCTATTTTTATTTAAAGAAATGACTCGGAAGGAGACCCCGACACCCTGGAAACTTTCTAAGGAGTCACTGCCCCTCAGTTTCGTCTTCCTCACCCCCCTTGGCAAAGTCGGGCCTTTACGCGGTGAACTCTCAGCTGGGCCTCCTATTACCCATTGCCTACAGGGCAAAGCCAAGTTCACGGTCAAGAGTAGAGGCCCTCCTGTCTTTGAACTTTGACTACCTTTACAGCTTCCTCTACAAATACCCTACCCTGCTCCTTATCACCCCTCTGCCCTCCGCCCTCTGGCCTGCAGTCATCATCTGGCTTATCCTTCTCCAGCACAAGGAGAGAGACGTGTCTGGGAAGCCTCTCCTGCCCTCCCAGAGGACCCTCATTGTGTCTCTCCATCACTGCCCTGAGCATGGAGCTTTATCATCTGATGCACACTTGACTCTTAAACAATAGGGGTTTGAACTGCACGGGTCCACTTGTACACCGATTTTTTTTGTCCCAGTAAACGCAGTATATCACAGTAAACGTATTTGCTTTTCCTTACGATTTTCTAAGTGACGTTTTCTTTTCTCTAGCCTATTTCATTGTAGGAACACGGTATTTAATGCATATAATATACAAAATACATGTGAAGCAACTGTGTGTTATTGGCACGGCTTCTAGTGAACAGTGGGCTATTAGTAGTTAGGTTTGGGGGGACATCAAAAGTTACACGTGGATTTTTGACTGCTCAGGGGTTGGTGCCCCAACCCCCGCATTTTTCAGGGATCACCTGTGTATCTGTTTTCCACACTAGACTACGCGTTCTTTCAGGGAGGGCCTGTATCATATTCATCTTTGTATCTCCAGCACTTTCCACAACCTCTGACACACAGTTCCAGCTCCAATGACGCCTCTGGAATGAATAATCAGGTGTTCTATAGATTTAAAAATACAAAGTTACGGGAACCTTCTAATGCAGGACGATAGATATATGGTTTTTGTTTTTTGTTTTTTGTTTTTTTTTTTTTTTTCATTAAAAAGAAGCTTAAGATTGATAGTGTAACTTTAAATACACACTTTTTAAAAAAGAATGTTGTACGGGGCGCCTGAGTGGCTCAGTCAGTTGAGCATCTGATTCTTGATATCGGCTCAGGTCATGCATGATTTCACCGTTTGTCAGTTTGAGCCCCGAATCAGGCTGTGCTCTGACAGCACGGAGTCTGCATGGGATTCTCTCTCCCTCGCTCTCTGCCCCTCTCCCACTCGTCCATGCCACAGAAAGGAAGGATGGAAAGGAGAGGAAAGGAAAGGAAAGGAAAAAGAATATTCTATTTGGTAGCAGTTAATTAAGGGAAAATCGGTATTAAATACTCTGATAGAAGAGAAGCTCTTTGGGGGCGCCTGGGTGGCTCAGTTGGTTGAGCGTCTGACTCTTGATTTCGTCGTGATCCCAAGGTCATGGGATCAAGCCCCATGTCAGGCTCTGCACTGAATGTGAAGCTTGCTTGAGATTCTCTCTCTCTCTCTCTCTCTCTGCCCCTCTCCCCCACTTGCTTTCTCTCTCTTTCCGTATTCAAAATTTAAAAAGATAATAATAAAATAAAAAAAGCAGGGAAGGTCTCTGTTTTCTCATTAGCTTATGAGCAACTTACTTTGACTCTCAGGGTCTGTGCTTCACATAATTCTCTGGGAACCCTCAAGAGGACCATCTCAGATCAAGTGTACCTTTCTCTGCTCCTCAACAGTAATGGGTGCTCATTACCCATTGGTTTGACAGAAGTGCTCTCCTGATCCTTAAAATTGCAGTGACTTCTGAGGGAAGATAAGGAACAAGGTGGGAGAGAGATCCACCATCATGAGAATCCCATTTGGACCCTCTGAGCAGGTGGTCGCTACTACTCTAGTCCTGCTGGGAGTAGGTGTCAGTGCCAATGACCTCTGTCTCTGGAGAGCCTCCGTCATACTTTGAGCAGATGGGGAGCCCTACCAGTTCTTAGAGTTTGCTCCCATAGATGATTTCTGTCCCAGGCCCGTGGAACTGGAGGAGGTAGAAAGCACATGTGGCAGGTACCCGAACAGCGTCATGATCATTACCTTGAAGGAAATTCACCCCCTTCACTGGCTCGAGAACATAGGAAGGGTCTCTGGAGAAGCGGCTGGTGCTGTCTGCATCCTTTCCCTCGCACCATCTGTGCTTTGTCCGAACCCCCGTGGAACCACTTTTTGATTTAGACTGGGAGTTTGTTGTTTTCTAACTTAGATGGCTTTTCTCTAACTTTCTAACTTTTGGGGAAAGCTCATGTGAATCCTCTTTTCTCATTAATATTCCTGGGCCCTGGTTTCCTCCATCCGTAAAATGAGGCCGTTGTTGTAGATCCTCTCGAGATGTGTGTCCACCTTTTAAAATTGTACAGTTTATCGTTCTGTCTCCTTTCATTATTCTTCTTTCAAGCCCTCAAATCCTTACTCTTACATTTTTGTGAGAAGAATAGGCAGGCCGCCTCTGATTCCACAGGTACACGGCGATGTTTATTGGAAAAGTATAAATGTTGGAAACACAGCTCCCAATTATGATGATATAAACAATTGCCACTTTCAAGAGCCAATAACTAAGGAATTACAGGAAAGCATTGAATCTTCAGCCAACATAGCTGCCGCAACCCGAGATGGCCTGAGCACAAAGGATATTTATACATTGGGTTTCAGAAGAATAATTCAAGTGCACAAGAGCTTCGTATTGTAATGTTATCACAAGAATATCCAGACAATGTTTTCTTTAACTCCGGGAAGAGCCGTTTAGAAGGTTGAATCCTGCCACATGTGTCCAGCTGCGCGTTTAACGCTCTTGGAAAAACATTGTTCTATAAACACAGAAATAACCAAGTACGGGTGTTTGAAGGAGGTTTAGTTCTTTGCTTATTGTTGTCAGGACCTTGGACATACAAGAGCACAAAATTAATAAACGCTATCAAATTTGCCGTGATCATAAACCAGGCAGCGATATTTTTTTTGCACCACAGGCTATTATTCCCGAGTTTCACTCTTAAGATGGTTTGAAAGCCCTGGACATCGATCCCAGTGTAATTAGAGTTCGCGAAACATGGCTCAGAGTTACAGTCGTCAGTCTACCTGTTTAACAATTTGTAAAACTGTGCACACTGAGCAAATTACATATTGCCACTTGAGAAAATACTGAAGAAGACCGAGTCTGTGTTGTTAACGCCCCAGAGGCACGTCTCGTCCCAAGTACACCCATAGTGGCTTGCTTTGGGGGGCAGCTCTAACATGTTTGTAGGGGAACAGCACATGAGGTGAGCTGAGAAGCTCGTCCTGCCATCCTCCTCCCCTCCTCGTCCCCTTCTGCCTGTGCACACTCTATGCTCACCCTGGAAAAAATGCAGAGTGACTGGCACACAGATGCATTCTTGTTCCTCTCTGAAAGGCGCGAGGTGTTGCCTGGAAAGCCATTGACCGCAGTCACTGCATTTCCCACTGTGTGATAATCTCTGTTCTTGGAAGCCGGCCTTCCCCTTTATCCTGCTGTCTGGATTACCTGGGCCTCGGAAGGGTTATCTTTTCATGGGGAAGAAGTGACTCGTCCCCAGGGACGTATGGCAGTTTCTCTAGTGCAAGGGCAGGTTTTGCTTCCCAATGTCTTTTCAAGGTCAAGGGTAATGCTCTTTTGGCCTCTCAGGTTTACCAACTCCTGAGGCCCCTCCCTCTGGGCACTGGTTTCTTACTCTTCAAATTTATGCATGATAAAGGGGAGCTCATGGAAAATCTTTTTATAGAAATGAACATATTGTTTCTATCTCAGCCTTTCTATTTTGGGGGCAGGGAGAAAGGGAAGATGTGAGGCTGCGTCACACGTTTGAAGCATAGACCCAGCCCTGCCCGGATGAGAGCTCTGTGTCCAAAATTGACAAAGCTTTTTGTGACACAGTCAACAAGAGAGGGGACGTTTAAGGCAGTGAAATGCGTTCAGGCAACAAAATGGCCCCCAAACTAATTTTTTTTTTAAGTATTACCGAAAATTCCAACCTTTGAAAGGGTGAGTTCCAGTTCTTTGCCCGGAGGGGATCCCATCCCTTGGCTAAAGATGACAGCAGGAAGGCATCGGGAGTGGGCTCACAGGAACCTGTATTTTCTCTTTCTGATAGGTCGTTGAAAAGCCGGGCGTCATGATGACGGAGCGCTTTGACTGCCACCACTGTGAAGAATCTCTCTTTGGCAAGAAGTACATCCTGAGGGAGGAGAGCCCCTACTGCATTGGGTGCTTTGAGGCTCTGTATGCCAGCACTTGCGAGGAGTGTGGGAAGCCCATCGGCTGTGACTGCAAGGTACCCCTGCTCCCCCTGCCCCGGGCAGCGCCGAGCACTCCTGGATCCTTCTATGTTCCCCCGAAACCACGGGCCTCTCTGTGTGGTTTGTGCTGGAGCCCGGACCCATGGGGCCAATTGAAATTCCGTCTCTTGAGCCCCCTCTGATGGGCTTGTCCCCTCCAAGAAGCCTCTCCGAGCCTCCTCCCTCTGGCTGGTCTGTGCCCACTCCTAATTCCATAACACTGGTTGGTGCGTTTCCGGGACATTTATGCTGAGGCTCCTGAGCACACCTCTTGCATTCTGGCTGGTGGTGTCCTAATCTAACCACCCCCCTCCCCCCACCTCCCAGCACTGTCACTGTCTGGAAGGCAGCGCTCTCTTACTCATGTTTGTCCCGTGCTGACTCAGAAGCAGTCGGTGCTGCTCAGTAAATATTTGATGAATGCATGTGCACATGAGTGAATTGGAGCTGATTCCCAGATAAATGGGCACATAAAGCACTACATTCATTGGACCATTAGGGGCTCTTTTCTTCCTAGTGGGAGAAGAGCAGGATTTGTACCGCTTCTTTCTCCAGGGAAAAAGCTCACGCCCAAGGAATTACCAGCTTTCCCACTGTGGATGGGAAAGCAGGTTCAACAGAGGTTACCGGTCATTTGTGCTGATTGCGTGGGATTGAGTGTCCAGAACCCTAGCCCGTGCTTCTCAGCGTATCTTTAGTCCAACCTGGACCACCCAGAAACGCCCCTGGAGGTCCACCCGTGTCTCTAAGACCTCTGATATCGTCACCTGCTAAACGGTGGCCAAAACGCACTTGACAAGACTTTAAGTGACTGTCATCCTGAGAGTCACAGAATTGGTACAAAATGGGGTCCCTTGGGGCAGCTCCAAAGGAATTCCCAGCTTCATGGACTTTAAAGCAATTCATGGCATTTTGGTGTCTCTATTCTGCTCTCTTCCCTTATACGCTTTAGGGAATTTGGCACTCTCCTCCGTGGTCATGAATATCGATATGTAGCTGCTGCCTCATTAGGTTAGGCTGTGTCTGCAGCTGGACGGTTCTAACACAGTCCATGTTTCATATGTTTCTTTTGTTTTTAAGTTTTTATTTCTTTATTTTGAGAAAGAGAGAACACGTGAGCACGAGCGGGGGAGGGACAGAAAGAGAGGGAGAGAGAGAATCCCAAGCAGGCTGCACGCCATCAGCACGGAGCCCGGTGCGGGGTTTGACGCGGGGCTCGAAACCACGAACCGTGAGATCGTGACCTGAGCCGAAATCGAGAGTCGGCTGCTTAACAGAGCCCCCCCAGGTGCCCTTGTTCCTTACATTTCTTCCCTTGATTACATCATTCCTAGGAAAGGCAGGAAGCAGAGCGCTGCACCGTCACTTTCTGTTGCTGGGTATTTGGTGACAGTTGGGGAATAACTTCCATCGTGTATTGAGCGAAGCCTTCGCCCCGAGCGGGCCCAGTGGGCAGCCCGGGCCACCTGAAACCAGGCCACAGCCATGTATCTTTTGGCTACAGAACAGGCAAGGCCTGCCAAGAGTGAAAGAAACCAAACTCAGCAGTAGTCCTGTGTAAACTTCCGAACGTGCAGAGAGGCGGGGCTGCTGTGAGCAGAGAAAAGTGGCTGATCTTGCTAGTCCCAAAGGCTAGACACCGTCCTGTCTCTAATGTCGACTGATGTAGGTCCCTAGTGGGTTCTTAGAGGGCTCTTAGTCCCTGTTCCTCTATTTACTGGGCCAAGCATCAAAGCTCAGACACCAAACGGCCCTGTCCCCGTCCTCACTCTGTGGCTCGCTAGCTGTGTGAGCTTGGGCTGATTACTTGCCCCCTCTGTGCCCGTCTTGCCCTTTTTGAATTGCCAATGAAACAGGTGCCAGTTTCATGGGGTTACTGCGGTCTGTGGATACGAAGCCTCAGCACTCCAAAGAGCAGCTGATGGTCTTATAAACTCCATCTGACTACTTCCCTATTCTTTCTGCAACACATTTCTTCCACGCCACCCTTGGAAGCTTCGCGCTCTCTCTCTCTTGCTCCATCTCCATTATAGAAACATCACTAAAAATGTCTGGTCTGAGGAAGAACCGAGAGGCAGAAGACAAAAATGATTCTCCTATAAAAATGTAACCTGGGGGGTGCCTGGGTGGCTTGGTCGGTTGAGCGTCCGACTTCGGCTCAGGTCATGATCGCGCGGTCCAGGAGTTCGAGCCCCGCGTCGGGCTCTGTGCTGACAGCTCGGAGCCTGGAGCCTGTTTCAGATTCTGTGTCTCCCTCTCTCTCTCTCTGCCCCTCCCCCGTTCATGCTCTGTCTCTCTCTGTCTCAAAAATAAGTAAACGTTAAAAAAAATTTTTTTGTTTTAAATAAATAAAAATAAAAATGTAACCTGGAAGAGGCTTCAGTAGGTGAGAGGTTCAGCCATTCTTCTGACAAAGAACAACCATAGTTTAGAGGAAATGTTTTGGATGTTTGGGACTAGTCACCCTTGACTGGCGGCTAAAGGAGAAACTAAGGGCGCTTCCCATTTTTTTTCCAATACGATTGAATGGAAAGACCCTTCCAACTGGCTACCCTTCGACACATACTTGATGAGCAAATAAACAAGAATCCCCCACATGGGGCCAAAATCAACAGGACTGCTGCAAAGCCAGGAGTTAATCACGCTGAACTTTTCAACCCAGATTCATGGTTTACTACACGTGGAGTTGAGCCATGTGGTTTTTCTACATTTTGGAAGAAAAAGAGATTCTTTCCCGAAGTTTGCCTTGGCCGTTTGGGGCTCCTGAATATTTGGAATGGTTTGCTTGACTTTCAGAAGGAATTATGTAGTTGACTTTGTGGAGGAAGCAATGATAGGGAAAACATTCCTGTTATTTGAGGGAGTAAAGCCAAAAATCTTGGCAGCCTTGATCGAGCAATTGAGCCGACAGACCTGGTGGCCATTCTCTTTTCTTAAAAGAGCCGGGGCACCACGAGCCCCGCCCACCTCCTTTGAAGGACACGCGTGGGGGTACAGATTTCAGATGTTGGCACACCAATGGGACTTAGGCTCATTTTGTGGGTACTGAGTGACTTTTATATGAATGACATAGATGAGACCACAGCGCCAGGTTTCATAGTCAGCTCACGTGCGTGTGAAAACACTTTGGCGTGGTTACTCAGTTGTACTTGTCATTTCTGCTCAGTTACTCCGAGGAGATGTGCTCGCCAAGGGTAAAAACCATTCACTTCACGACCAGTGGAATAGTTGAGAACAGGCGATGCAAACAAAATGCCGTGAGCCTCTGAGTGACCCTGTTCCTGAAATTCTTCTCGGACATCTGTGGTTACTAGCAAAAAATGTCTTAGCCTGATTACAGACAGTTTTGGACGGGTCCACTTATGCTCTGGGCTTCAAAAACTCAAGAAACGAAGGACAACGTAGGCAGGGCCCCTGACCTCAGAGATGGCTGCTAGTACCGTGCACTTAACAAAGCAGCGAACAAACTCCGGGCCGTATGCCTGGCTCGGTGTGTTTCTAGAGCACACTTTAAGCTTCCTAGTAATTAGGTGGGAAACATCAAAGTGATAATCAGCCCCAAGTCCACCCACCAAACTGTAAGTTTCTCAGCAAACATCTAGAAAGTTCTTAAGGAACAGAAAATCGCTGGGATCCTTTGATAGAAAGCAGTCGGGACTAAAGGGGGAGACAGAGGCTCTTGCCCCTCCAGTGAGATCTAGATGTCTCTGGTACACTTTTAGAAGGCTCCTGACCCTGGCTGGTGTAGGAGGCATGAGATTACAGTGGAAACACCTGTCCTGTCCTGGAGCAGGATGCAGGCCTCTCCTGCCCACCTTTCTGGGCCGTCATGGGAAAGGCTGCTATTCCAGACACGTTCCAGACACGTCCTCACAGTCCAACTCCCCCACCCGGCACTATTTTTTATTTGTTGAGGTGACTTTTTTTTTTTTCCAACGTTTATTTATTTTTGGGACAGAGAGAGACAAAGCATGAACGGGGGAGGGGCAGAGAGAGAGGGAGACACAGAATCGGAAACAGGCTCCAGGCTCTGAGCCATCAGCCCAGAGCCTGACGCGGGGCTCGAACTCACGGACTGTGAGATCGTGACCTGGCTGAAGTCGGACGCTTAACCAACTGCGCCACTCAGGCGCCCCTGTTGAGGTGACTTTTAAGTGTTTAGTGAGTGAATCATCTTTTTAGAGTTTCCATGTAATTTGTTCACAGGGTTTGTAATGGGCACTGAAAATATGTCTATTTGTTTAGACATCCTCCTGTAAGAGAAAACTGTGTCTCTAAGGGGAAGTGAGTGCCGATCCACTCACTACGCAGGATCACTAGACGTGGGAATGAGGCTAGCCATGTGGGTAACACGGGGCCCTGGAAAACCAAAGGGGCACCTGCAAGGCACGCCACCAAAGGCACAGGACATTTGGCAGTGAGTCGGCCCCCACCGGGATGGGTCTCGAGCCAGACTTGCTGAGACGTGGGTAAGTTATGCCGCCTACAGGGCTCTGTTTCCATGTCTGAAGAGGGGGCTGCCGGCCTGGCGACTGTCACGGGAATTTAGTTACCATGGTTGGGACACCTGATATAGGACCACGTAGATCGAGTGCTGTCCTTTCTGCCATCATCCGTTCTTCAGGACTTTTGTTCTTAAGTATTGGAAGGAACATCCAGTTGGAAACAGGATGCCCCGACAGTCTCAAAGCATAGAATGCCTTTTCAAAGTGCGGAGTGTGAAGGGTTGTGAGCACCCACTTACCACATGAAATCTGGTGGATTTGAGGAGCGGTGGCTTTGGGAGATCTTCATCTGAACCAGTCCCGGCACAGGTGGAACGTGGTGGAGGGGTGGCGCCAGCCCCTGCTGCCCAGGGTCACCTCCAGTCAGCCGAGGGGACGAGGGCCCCTCTTGGCCACCTGGTCGTCCCCCTGGCTCAGCTGGCATCTCAACAAGGCACGTTCGGCATCACACGAGAAGCACTTCCCATATCGGGAATGTTTCTGAGATGGAAAAATATAAAATCTGAAAGGAAGTGTTGGGTCCTAATCTCACATTGTTTATCAACACATTACTGCAATTGATGACATTTCTGTGAGCACAAGGTTAGCCATGGTATTTTTCCTGGGACGTGTAAAAGATTCTTTCTTTCTTTCTTCCGGTCTTTCTTTCCTTGTCCTTCTCTCTCTCTAGAGGACTTTAAAACCAGCATATTTCTAGGACATTTTGAGCTTCTTGAACGTCAGTCAGTGAGTCTATACTTCTTAACCTTGTGCCTCCAGCATCTAAACGGTGTCCTTTGGGGACCACGTGGTGTACTTGATACATAGCAGAATTAAGCTAGATGGACTAGCTCAGTCCTAAGAATGAAAACTCACCATCTGTTTGGAGCTGTGAACGCAAGAAATGAGAAGGGCCTCCAGGTACCAAAGCTTTGAGAGAAGGATTTAGAACACGACATGAAGCTCAGGTCCAGGCACGGGGTTGTGGCCTATTATAATAGCCTCTTGTACTTCTGGTGGTATTTTCTGGCCCAGCTCTCAGCTCCAGGGACTCCTGTGCCTAAACTCCTACCCCACACCGAGAGGAGAAATGTCTTGGCCAGAAGCCTCACCGTGCCCTCGGAAGGCAAAGCTGGCAGTGTTCAGTTACCTTCCTCTTGCCATAAAGTCTTTCTTCGCTTCCTATGTGTTGTGGGCTTTCTTAAGAAGTGAGTCCAAGAGGAAGCTGTGACATGAATTTATTAGCTTAACTCAGACTTCCAAAGAGAACACAAGCCAAGAGCCCAGGAAAGAGAATTACAGGGAAACCTGATAGCCTAATGACTTAGATAAGGGTTTCCATGCAGGAGTTTGAAGAAGATGTCGACACAGGCATGCCTTGGGCCGGGGCAGCTCAGAGCAGGTGGCGTGTGAGCTGGGCTTTATAGGGAACAGGGTTCTCCCAGTTGGAGAGGAGGGGCAGGGCCTTGTGAGGCAAGGCGTGGCAAGGGCCAGGGTGCAGAGGTGTGAAAGGTTGGGAGCTGGGCTTTGGAAGGTCAGGAAGTCTTGCACTGATGCGTAAGGTCTGCTAAAGTCACGTGGACGGTACCCCAAATGTGGAGGAACACTTTCTAGTGCCTAACATCTGCCAACGCGTAGCTATCATGTTGCACGTGTGTTTTCAGGTTAACCGTAGAAAAATTGGGCTTCTGCGGTGCTTCGGAGCCCCAAGCACATTTAAAGCAGTTTTTCCCACGACTGTCCGTGCACGTTGACCACTCCGCTGCTCTTTCCTCCCATCTGGGTACTCGCTAAGCGGTCTGGGGACCGTGGTGACATCTGGTGGCTGTGCTCTCGCAGTGTCGCCCATAGAGGTCCCTCCCTCAGTGTGTTTGAAGATCGCTCCCCAAAGGCAAGTTTCCTTGAACCCATGTTTCCTTTCCTTTTCATTGCACTAATGAGCTGTGTAGGCGCTGTGTGTGTGCCGTGGATGCCCTGGGCAGGGCAGCCCCCAGCCCCACTGGGCCACCTTCCGGGAAGCAGGCCTGGGATGGCCTCCCTTCTGCCCTCGAGACCTCCCCAGGGCTTCTCTTCTCAGCCAGGCGGTGGGCGATTCACGGAGCACGGAAAACGCTTCCAGCTTTCCCACGATGGCAGTCCTTTCTGAGGTGACTGGCCTGCACAGGGGGCACCCACCTAACATCTGAAAAGGCTTTCCCACCTGCTACGGAATAGTCCAAACCGATCGCTCTAACTGTGGTAAAATACACCTAGCATAAAATACGCCAGCTTCGCCCTGTTGAAGCATGCAGTTCAGTAAGTGCCACGAGGCTTCACGTTGCTGTGCAGCCGGCCTCTGGGACTCTTCATCCTGCAAAACCGAAACTCTGTCCCCGTGAAACACTAACTCCCCGTCCCTCCTCCCCCAGCCCCTGGCAGCCACCGCTCTACTTTCTGTTCTGCGCATTTGACCCCTAGGTACCTCGTCTCAGTGGAGACGTACAGGACTTGTCCTTTCGCGCCTGGCTTATTTCGCTGAGCGTAATGTCCTCAGGGGTCCTCCACGTGATAGCTTGTGTCAAAGTCTCCTTCCTTTTTGAGGCTGGATAATATTCCATCGTATGCACGTACCACATTCTTCTTAGCCGTTGATCTGTTGATGGACACTTGGGTTTCTCCCACCTTTTGGGTGACTGTGGACAATGCTGCTTTGGATGTACCCATGTCTACAAGTTCCTGCTTTCAATTCTTTATGCCAACACTGTTTTCCATAACGACAACAAAAAAAGTTAAATGCATGTATTCTGTAGCATTATCACAATGATAGCATGATCTAAAACCTCCCAACTCTTTCAGCGTCTGGGTGGCTCAGTCGGTTGAGCATCCGACTTTGGCTCAGGTCGTGATCTCGCTTTCATGCGTTCGAGCCCCGCGTCAGGCTCTGTGCTGACAGCTCAGAACCTGCTTGGGATTCTCTCTCTCCCTCTCTGTGCCCCTCCCCAATGCATGCTGTCTTTTTCTCTCTCAAATAAATGAATACAAGCTTAAAAAAAAAGAGTATGGGGCGCCTGGGTGGCGCAGTCGGTTAAGCGTCCGACTTCAGCCAGGTCACGATCTCACGGTCCGTGGGTTCGAGCCCCGCATCAGGCTCTGGGCTGATGGCTCGGAGCCTGGAGCCTGTTTCCGATTCTGTGTCTCCCTCTCTCTCTGCCCCTCCCCCGTTCATGCTCTGTCTCTCTCTGTCCCAAAAATAAATAAAAAACATTGAAAAAAAAAATTAAAAAAAAAAAAAAAAAGAGTATGAGATTACTTAGGATTCCTCAGGTGAGGTCAAGAGCAGCACAGAGACCACACGATGTTCTCTCCTGGATTCATTTCTCCTTTTCAGCCTTTGCTAGAAAGCGTGGATTCTGCTTTCTTAATAACCCGTGCCATCTGTTCCCGACTGTGTGCCCCACTCTTGTGCACAGCCTCAGCCGGCCTGATTCTCTGCGGTGCCTTCTGTGAGGTCTCCTTCCTGTCCCCCCGTACGTCCCCCACCACATGTCCCACATCGTCTTAGCCTTTCACGCCCCTGTTTAAACAGCTCATGCCCCCTCCACTGCCTTCAGGGTAATCTTAACTTCCGTGCAGACATTAAAGGGCCCTCCTGTCCCGACCTGGATTTGAACCTTCCTGCCTGGTGCCCTGGGCTGTCCCTCCAGCCAAGGACCCCTCTCACTCACACCTCAGCTGTGCTCATGCTCTGTCTCTTCCCAGAAGTCCTTCTCCGACCCCCTGTGCCCACCTCCCTGCTGTCCGTGAGTCGTCCACACTCAGCCCATGCCACCTGTTCCAGAACTCTCTCCCAACCTGCTTCCCACCAAGTGACACCAGAGCCCTGTCCTCGTGGCTGTCTTTCTGAAGTTCCCTACATCCAGGCTTCTCTGTCCAGCCAGGTGTCCCAGTGACCCTGCTGTCACACTTGGTTTTGCTGGGCTCCCTCAGAGCTGAGGGCTGCGCTCTGTTTCTCTCACCAGTTGTCAGTGAGAAGCAGTGATGAGTCGTATGTTTTGTGTTTCACTTTCTTACAGACAATACTGAGGGGGAATCCATTTGTTTTGGGGAAGCATCTCTTTCACACACACTCATACTCGCGCGCGCACACACACACACACACACACACACACACACACACACATCTAAATAGTTGCTCTGAAAGCCCAGCCTTCCTCATTTCACCAGCAGGGTCACGATCCAGGAACGCCCACAGGCTTCAGCCCCCGTCTGCCCCCAGGATTTGCATGACTGCCCCGTGCCGTGGGTCAGGCAGAGCAGCCGTGGCCGCTCCGGCCCTCTCACTGTCTCATGCTCTGGGTCTGCAGGACTTGTCCTACAAGGACCGACACTGGCATGAGGCCTGTTTCCACTGCTCGCGGTGCAAGAGCTCACTGGTGGACAAGCCCTTCGCTGCCAAGGAGGACCAGCTGCTCTGCATGGACTGCTACTCCCACCAGTACTCGTCCAAGTGCCAGGAATGCAAGGAGACCATCATGCCAGGTCAGGAGCGCGCCCTCCTCCCTCGCCATGCCTCAGAGCAGGCATGCCCTTTTCTGCCCTTCCACTGGCTGAATTTGTCCGAATCTGGTCATTGCAGCAATGGGTATGGTGCCCCGCTGTGCACCAGGCGCTGGGCCGGGGGCCGGGTGTTCGCAAAGCAGTGAGCCCCCTGTCCTCCTGGACTTTGTGTACTACACACACAGACATTCGTTTTCAACAGACCCAGACTTGACCCCAGCTGGGTCGGGTGTCAGAGGAGTAGTGAGGTGGCTTGTGTGTGATGGGGGAGGTGGGACTGGGTCCCTTGGGGGAAGTTTCTTGGGGCAAGTTGGTCTGTTTTGTTTTGTGGGTCTTTCATTTTTAAAAAACTGAGTGAACACGCAGTTTGTGAGTTCGAGCCCCATGTCAGGCTCTGTGCTGACAGCTCAGAGCCTGGAGCCAGGTTCGGATTCTGTGTCTCCCTCTCTCTGTCTCTCTCTGCCCCTCCCCGCCCCCACTCACACTCTGCTTTCTGTCTCTCTTGAAAATAAATAAACGTTAAAATAATAGTAATAAATAAATAATTAATTAATTAAAAAACACAAAAGACTAAATTGAAGTATACAATTTTTTAAAATATTTTTCTGAGAGAGCACAAGGAGGGGAGAGGCAAAGAGAGAAGGAGACACAGAATCCAAAGCAGGCTCCAGGCTCTGAGCTGTCAGCACAGAGCCTGACGCGGGGCTTCGAACCCACGAACCGTGAGATCGTGACCTGAGCCGAAGTTGGACACTTAACCAACTGAGCCACCGAGGCGCCCCTGAAGTATACAGTTGAATACAATGGGAATTTTCGTAATTTATCAACCTTGTGATGCCTGAAGTATTTTATGGTTCGTATTTATAAGCTCAATTCATTTCAACAACAATCACTTAAGAACTTGAGGTTTGGTTTGTTAGTTGAGGTTTTTTAGAGGGACGTCAAATATGTGAAACTTTCAGGTGCAGTTTTGAAGGAGTTGAGGTCCAGACCATAATAAATAGAAGAAAGCACCAAGTCCCCTTCAAAGTGATTTTTAAAACCCGCTGTATTCATGAACACCAGACAAGACGTGCGAAACGAATGGAGCTTGAGAGTTTCGGGCTGGTTGCATCAGGAGGTTGACGTTAATTTAAATACAAATTTTTTTAGTGTTTATTTATTTTAGAGACAGAAAGACGGAGCATAAGCACGGGAGGGGCAGAGAGAGCCAGAGACAGAATCTGAAACAGGCTCCAGGCTCTGAGCTGTCAGCACAGAGCCCAACGTGGGGCTCGAACCCACGAACCATGAGATCATGACCTGAGCTGAAGTCAGACACTTAACCGACTGAGCCACCCAGGTGCCTGTGAGTTTTAAAGCCCAGGGTAGCCTGCTGAGTCACAGTATTTCACACAGCAGCTGGATTCCTGCTGACATGTAATGGGAATTAGGGTTCCCGAGGTCATTTAGAGCCAGACTCTTGACTCTTTAGCAGAAAACTGCTTGCCATGCCCCAGAGTTTTCTTTTTATTTTTGGTTTGCTTTGTTTGTGGCAGTGAAGAGATACTGAAGAGTTTTGAGCCGGAGACTGATGGGCAGGAAGTATAATTTTAGGAAGATATATTGGATAAGAAATAAAAGGCGAGGGCACGAGATGGTTTCTCCTGGCTACTACATTTCTCTGGCTAATACATCTCCAAGATAACTGACTCCATGCTCTTACAAGGAACAAAACCCCCAGAGCAAGGCCTCTTACAGAGATGCGTCCATGCTGCAACTGTGGGGCAAGGGCCCAACGTGGGGGCCATGGAATGAAAACCAAAGCCCACGTACAGCAGAAGCTGACCTGAGGTCACGGGTATGGACGATCACTGACTTCCTTCTGCTTTGGCAATCGTGGTTAATTCAGAAGGTAGGGTCACAGGGGACACACAGGATGAAGCTTCACAGAACGGAGGTGCTCACAGCCTCCCCAGGAGGAGAGCAAAACAGACGTGTTGGGATCATGTCCAAATCAACTAGGTTTAGTCCAAGCTCTAGCAGGCCTGAGGGTCTTTGCTTTGCTGCACAGTAGCTGTGTGGCCTTAGCCACTTGGAGCTGGGGGAGCCTTGGTCTCCCCGCCCCCGCCTGCACTTTAAATTCAAAACCAGCCCTGCAGATACTGTTTTATGCCACCACCGTATGTCTGTCCCGGCTTCCCCCTCACTTCGGCGCTCCTTCCCTGAACCATCGGTTCTCAGGGAAAACCTAGAAACCGACAGGTTTGGTTGGCTGTTTGCTGGCTTTGACTTTCCACCGATCATTGCCCCTCACCGAGACTTCACTAGAGAAGCCTGGCTCCTACCCGCTATGGTGGACCCAGAGCAGAGGAGTCAGGAAGGGGCCCCGGGGATGTCGCATGTGAGTACTCTTGAAGGATGAGCTGAGTTTCACCCCTGGAGAAGTCAAAAAAGGGCACTTTTGGCAGAGGAAGTGGACTCAGCACCAACGTCAGAGTGTCTGGAAAAAGCTTGGTTGAAAGGTGGTGGGGGAGGGGGGGAGTGGTAAGGGAAGAGGGGAGGGGAGGGAGAGGGAAAAGGAGATAAAGAAAAGAAAGGAAAAGGAAAGGAAAGAGAAAAGAAAGAAAAAAGAAAAGGAAAGGGAAAGAAACAGAAGAAAAGCGCTACATCATAGCACGACCTTCCTTGCTTTGATTCCATTTTTTAAAGGGCTACCAAATCAAGATGACTAGGAGTACAGATCATCAGCGTAGCTTTTGCAACGACCTTAGATACACAGAGCAAGAGGCGGGTACTAACTGACAAACCCGCCCCCTGGCCACAACCCTGACAAAAGCCAACCTCCCAAAGTAGTCGGGAAACTAGAGTCCGTCACAAACCACAGCGAGCCTCTGTTCGCAGAGGATTCTGCAGAATCCTCTGAGCAGCCTCTCAACTGTTGCCAACCCTTCACCACGTTTCTGGTTCCTCACTTGTTTATTTGAATCAGGAAAACAACAACAACAACAAACAAACACCCCTTGGTCAAGACCAAGACCGTGTACTTGGCATCTGCCGGAGAAGCTGGGCATTGTTAGAAAGAAGGAAGTTTGCTGCCATCTGCTGGCCGTGTTGTACAACAAGCTATGCAGGTGTGACTGCAGTAAATAATGGGTACCTCTCGGATGCGCACCCACCGTCCCGATTGGGCCGCGAGTGCCCACCAGCTTCCCGCCTAGAGACAAGACAATTCCCTGAGGCCGGTGTTGATATAAGACGGTTATTCTGGAACACGCCGAGAATGCACTTACACGGTCTTGCTTGTGGTCTTTAGTGATCATCTGACTGCCATGTATTCATTGATAAAAATCCTTTGGTATTTTAGCTGTTTAACCAGAGGGAAGGTCAGAGATTAAAGGAGCAAGTGGCAAGGGCACCTGAGTGGGTCAGTCGGCTGAGCGTCCGGCTTTGGCTCAGGTCATGGTCTCTCAGTTCGTGGGCTTGAGCCCCCTATTGGGCTCTGTGCTGACAGCATTCTGCTCCTCTCCAGCTTACACACACGCTCTCTCTCTCTTTCTCTCTCTCAAAACTTAAAAACATTTTTAAAAAACATTTAAAAAAAAGAGCCAGTGGCAAAAATATACGTGGAAAAATAAGCCCCTGGAGACAAGGAAAATCATTCCAGATTTATATCATAATTCTTCTATTTTTACCTGAAATTCAGTCACTGAATGTAATTTTCCTTGTTTCGGGGTTCATCACCCTGTGATTGGATTCCATAGCTTTGAAGATCATTATGTACCCCTCCATGAATTCCCTCACACACATACCCACCTTCCAGCGCCTATACTTACCCTGAATATTGCATATACTCTGTGGGAGTTAGTGCCCAAAGGTCCTGTCTGGGAAGTACAGGAAGCTGAGACAGTGACCCAAAAATGACATCTAATAAAATAATCTTGCAACGGTTTTCTGCCTATATCCTAATTCCTGGAGATACGGACATCTCTTTGTCAACCTTGGAAGCAACCAAAACACAAACACTTAGCCTGTCATCTCGCCCATATTATCTTTGGACTTAGGCTAAAGGCGAGTTTCTAGATGCCCGAGTTACGCTGCCTGCCTGATGCCAGCATGCGGCCATCCTGGTTCAAAGCTGGCAGTCCTGCTCCCAGCCTAACCACCCCCCGCCCCCGCCATGCCCTGATCCCACGTTGAAGTGCAACTTATGCGCCCTTCCTTCTACAACTGCAAACTTTCAGTGAGCCCATGGGTTGGCCAACAGGTTACCAGAATGAATCAAATACTTGGGGCCTTGAAGCCCACACTTTGTCACAGCTCCTTTCTGCCATTGTAGGATGAAGCATCCGTAGACAATTGAAATAAATGAATGGGTGTGGCTGTGCTCCAGTAAACCTTCAATTGTTAAATGGGGGTGGCTGAGACTGTGCGCGCAGGCCCTACGTAGCGCACTGGCCCCGGGCGCTAGCTCCGATATTTGGAGCCCTTTTCTTGTTTTTCACCCCCTACCCTCCTGTCCCCCCAAAACTTACCTTCTGCTGCATGCAAAGGGCTCTTGCATACAATCTGTCTTGAATCATCTCTTTCTGTAAACACACGCCCTTTTATTTTCCGGGAAAAGTACGGGGAAACATCAGTCAACAAATAGCGAACATTGGCTATGAATCCAGCTTGGTGGTGTGGCGGGGGGGGGGTGAACCAAACAGCATTTCCGTTCTCTAGACTTCTTAATCTACTCGAAGAAATCATGTAAACCTATCAAATGATAACAGCCATTCGAAAGGAAATGGGATGTCACAAGATAAGATCAGAAAATCGCTAAATGGAACGTATGAGTGTTACGTTTGGCTTTTAATGATAGCGCTCAGTGCAGTGCATAAAACCGCTACGACACATCACAGCTTGGTTTATTTACACAGCAGGTCACATAAAGTGAGCGACGTGGAGGCTCCTCGCTGAATCAGGCTTGAGACTCTAGGTTCATTTACAACCCACCAATTTCCATCCCGTTGGAGAGCCGAAGGGTGTTCGTTCACGGGCCCCCGGGCTCTGGGAATCTCACTCCATCCGGGACCGGTCTGAGCTATGCCAGATTTCTCTTTCTATTATGCAGTGCTGAGAGACAGAGACAAATACTTGTTCCAGTTAATGTTCATAACCACCCTGCTGGACAAATAAATCCCAAGTATGCACAGAGGCTGTTCTAGAAGTGGGGTGTATGGCAGTGAACCAAAAGACAAAGTCCCCGCCCTCTCCAAAACATTCCCACTTAAGAGGCGAGCCTCTGAGAGCTGAAGTGACTTCCTACAGCCCCAAAGCCAGATGATGGCAGGTTCTCAATGCAGATCGTAGGGGCCCCGAGCCGGTCGTGTTGTCAACTCTGCTCTTTGCTGCTTCTTCTGGACTCTCATGACAGGTACCCGCAAGATGGAGTACAAGGACAACAGCTGGCACGAGACCTGCTTCATCTGCCACCGCTGCCAGCAGCCAATTGGCACCAAGAGCTTCATCCCTAAGGACAACCAGAACTTCTGTGTGCCCTGCTACGAGAAACAGTACGCCTTGCAGTGTGTTCAGTGTAAAAAGGTATCTGTCATGCTCCCTCGGACCTTGCGCGCTCCATTCGGTCTGCCCCCATGGCCCCTGGCTGGGAGTCCTCCCTCCCCGGACAGACAGACACCTGTAAGACTGGAATGGCACAAGAGTCTTGCAAAATCCTCACGAGCGCATGTGCATTTTACCTGCTGGACGGACCCCCGTCCCGGTCCTTCTTTCAAGGACATGAGTGCCCCTGTGACCTGAGAGAAAAATCCTGGTCGCCTCCCTCCGACAGCATTGTCCAAGATTTGCCCCCGTTTATGGCTTCATGTTAAAGGGGAGGAAAACTTACTGTCCCAGAGCTGTCCTGATATGCTCGCTTTCCACCAGGAGACAAGAAACCAGCTGCTAATAACCCTAGTGGGAGGGAGGGAGGGAGGGATGTGAGAAACGGAGGAAAGTTGTGCCCCGAGCGCTTGCAGACCCTCTTTGGCTCCGGCCCCTTTACCAACTCTGCTGTTGGGCCTTTGGGGGCCCAGCCTGGTCTCTGCCTGCGGCACTTTTCAAAGGGCGCAGTATTTCTAACTCCCTTTCAGCCTTTCTTTCTCATTTCCTAAGGTCTTATTTCTGTCCTGGTTTGGTTTTTTTTTTTGTTTGTTTGTTTGTTTTTATTACCACTTTAAATTCCACGTCTCCCGATTTCCGCTCTTCTGGTTATACTATTTATCTACTGTTTATTCCTTCCTCCTTAGCTGGAACTCTCCTTCCCGTGTTTATTTCAGGAAGCTTCTTCTCCGCTCTCTCCCCTTTTTTGTTTGGTTTGCTCTTTCCCACCAAGAGCGAAGGAAAGTTCATGTGATTTGCTTTTCTTCCCCTCTATTCTTCCCAACCTTCATCGCCGCGTTTCGTGGCAGAAGTGATGGTAACACATCCTCTGGGCAGCACGGCCCTGTGTGTGTTCATCAGGACACATGACAGCATTCATGCCAGAAACATCCATCACTCCTGTAGTGAAGTAGGCACCCAAGGCTTCCAGGGCCCGAGGCGGGGGGGGGTGGAGATGCAGTCCAGTGGCAAATATTCGAGTACTTACTGCCAAGTGGGCTTTGGAGAAGAACAAGAGTTTAACAGAGTGTGTACTAGGAGGACGTGAGCTAACCTGAGGGGTGGGAGCCAGGCTGGTGTTGAGGGAGGGGTGCTCTGAGAGAGTGACCCTGTGCTGAGCATGTCAGAGCTGGCCGCGTGGGGATGTGGGGTGGGGGCATGAGACCCGGAGTCCAGACGCAGAGAGGAGAAGGATGTGTGTTTCATCCTGAGCAAACCTCTTACATACACACATGCCTTCTGCGTTCACATAGATACCTTGCAACAGAGTATACTTTGCATAAGTCCTGTTCCAACGATGAAATTTAAAAAAAAAAATTTTTTTTTTAATGTTTATTTATTTTTGAGAGAGAGAGACAGAGCGCGAGTGGGAGAGGGACAGAGAGAGAGGGAGACACAGAATCCAAAGTAGGCTCCAGGCTCTGAGCTGTCAGCACAGAGCCCTATGTGGGGCTCGAATCCACAAACCGTGAGATCATGACCTGAGCCAAAGTCAGACTCTTAACTGACTGAGCCACCCAGGTGCCCCCCAGCGGTGAAATTTATAGGAAGATCAGTAATGCTTTATAGTTTAATGAAAAGATATGATAAAGGGAGTCCTAAACACTGGCACCTGCTTTGTCTTTAACTAGCTATGAATTCTCAGGCAAGTGGCTTAATTTCTCCAGGTCTCAGTTTTGTTCATCTGTAAAATGAAAATGATATCTGTGTTATTTCAAGGTCTTTATACAGTTGAGCCTTGAACAACACGGGGATTAGGGGTACCAACCCCCCTGTGCAAGTTGAAAATCCACATAAAACTTTTGACTCCCCAAAAACTTACCTACTAATAGCCTGAGGTTGACCAGAAGCCTTACTGATGACCTAAATCCTCGATGAACACATATGTTGTATGTTATATGGATCGTATACTATGTTATTACAAGAAAGTAAGCTAGAGCAAAGACCATATTATTCAGAAAATTCTAAGGGAAAATACATTGATAGTACCATACCGTGTTTATCGAAAGAGATCCACGTAGACGTGGACCCGCGCAGTTCAAACCCGCTGCTCGAGGACAAGACTGTCCTGACTGTAAGGACGAGAGGCGGCAGTGGATGATGGGGCCGCATTACAGAAACAAGATGCATGAACCTGCCAAGGGCAGGTGTCTCCACTCCATTCTCCATGGTTCTGTGGAGCGGAGACCCGCCCGTCCCTCGTCCACTGTTGAAATAAATACGAAAAGCAACAACATGAAAAGAAAAACACTGAGTAAAATTGAGGTGTTGATGACCAGTTCTATCACATGTGGCTTCTCACTGCATTCTAAGCGGCAGGACGGCGTGAGAAGGCAGGCCCTGGGCGCATTGTCCCCCCGCTCTATCCAGGGGGCCGCCCCTGACTGCAGCCTCGGTGGGCACCGGGCCCACGGTGTCCAGGCCTCTCTCGTCTTCCACCACTAGGAACCGCATTGTAAGTGGTGTTTGCAAGTTTAGCACCCAGAGGGAGGCGCGGGGAGCTGGTGAGGGGAGGGGTGAGCGTTCACATCTGAGTCTCCTTGAGGCCGCCCCTGGCCGCACCCCTCCCCAGCACGGCCCCTTGCACAGCGGCCACGCGGAGCTGCCTTGTGGCACCTGTACCTTCAGATGCCCCAGCATCCCGAGGGGCTGAGGTCACGGCTGGGGTCCGCAGCACTGCACTGAGAGTATACAGAAGGGGAGTCCAGAGCGACTGTCAAGTCAGGAGAGCCGTTTCTGGGTGACCTTTAGCCAACACCGGCCGTGCTCTGGATGGGGACGTCGCATCCCCCGGAGGCTGTGCGGCCTCGGGAACTTGAGCCTCTGCCTCCTTCCTCCTGCAGCCTATCACCACGGGAGGCGTCACGTACCGGGAGCAGCCCTGGCACCGGGAATGCTTTGTGTGCACGGCCTGCAAGAAGCCGCTGTCGGGGCAGCGCTTCACGTCCCGGGACGAGTTCGCCTACTGCCTGAGCTGCTTCTGTGACTTGTATGCCAAGAAGTGCGCCGGCTGCACCAACCCCATCAGCGGTGAGTGTCCCCCAGGCCCCCACTCACGCACGGCCACCTGCTCTCCCTCACTCAGCCACCCCAGGGATGGACAAGATACCGGACTCTGGCCCCCGAATATGTTTACCTACCAAGACTCCGGGCCTCGCTGAGGTTCTGAACAGGCCTACACTTTCTGCCTCTCTTGCTTTCCTGTCCTCATTACGCTGGGGCCACTTCGGCAGGGGACGCTGCCCCTCTAGCTCACCTGATCACTGAAACCCATACGGCCTGTTCTCCAGAGGTTTGTTATTTCTGCTTTTGGTTGGGTTATCTCCACATAGCAGTCTGTGAGTCTATGGCACCCGGAGAGGCACAGCGAAACTGGCATTTGCAGGCGAGCCGCTCCTCTGTGTTTCTAAAGGTGCTCCCTGGCATCTTCGAGGGACTTGTCTACCACCAGGGCATAGCTTCACGAGGGCAGAGGGCAGTGTTCAAGGCGATTCTCCCTTAGCCCCCAAAGGCTCCCGCAGAGCAAGAGCCCAAAGTCTGGCTGGCTATAGACTGGCATTGTACTAAACGGTTAGACGTGCCGGGAAATGGAGCTTGGAGGACAGATGGCTGGTCAGACTCAAGTCCTGTAAATGTTCACCACGCATCACCACACGAATCAGTGACTGGGCCGGAGGGAACCGTGAAAATTCCAGACTGACGGAGGAAAAGTTCCGTGACCTGGGATTCCCAGCTCTGCTACGTTCGGGTGACAGGCTGATCCCTGTCAGTGGCAGATGGCAGACACGCGTAATGTAAATATAGCTGCGTGGCCAAATGGCGTCCCTGTGTAGCTTTGCAGTGTAATCACACAGACAGATTTCACAACTCCTGTGTGCTTGTCCGTGACTTTCTTTTTCCTGGGGCTTGGAACTGAGTGCATCTAAATGCACCTTTTTTTTTTTTTTTTTTTTTACGTTTATTTATTTGAGAGAGAGAACCTGAGTGGGGAAGGGGCAGAGAGAGAGGGCTAGAGAGCGAATCCCACACTGCCAGCGCAGAGCCTGACACGGGGCTCGAACTTACGAAACTGCAAGATCATGACCCGAGCCGAAGCCAAGAGTGGGACGCTTAACCGACTGAGCTACCCAAGCGGCCTGAGAACTGAGTGCATCTAACTCAGCCAGCTCACCCGATGTAGGAAGCCCCAGGTCACTAAAATAATCCTTGATGCGTAATCTAGAGCACGTATTTCATATGAAATTAAAATGTAAAGAAAAGTCCAACATTTAAATTTTTCTGTTAATTCGATTCCAGCCATATATACCAGATTGCCCCCTTAGAATCATTTAGAGAGAAGAAAAGCAGTCTTTTGATTAATCCAACAGATTAATCTTGAATACTGTTTTTACAGTAACATCTGTGGAAGTAAATGTTTCTAAAATGCTTCATATGGGGCCCCTGGCTGGCTCAGTTGGTTGGGCATCCGATTTCGGCTCAGGTCATGATCTCGCGGTCCGTGAGTTTGAGCCCCGCGTCGGGCTCTGTGCTAACAGCTCAGAGCCTGGAGCCTGCTTCAGATTCTGTGTCTCCCTCTCTCTCTGCCCCAACCCCGCTCATGCTCTGTCTCTCTCTGTCTCTTAAAAATAAGTAAATGTTATGGGGCGCCTGGGTGGCGTAGTCGGTTAAGCGTCCGACTTCAGCCAGGTCACGATCTCACGGTCCGTGAGTTCGAGGCACGCGTCGGGCTCTGGGCTGATGGCTCGGAGCCTGGAGCCTGTTTCCGATTCTGTGTCTCCCTCTCTCTCTGCCCCTCCCCCGTTCATGCTCTGTCTCTGTCCCATAAATAAATAAAAACGTTGAAGAAAAAAAAATTTAAAAAAAATAAGTAAATGTTAACAAAAATTTTAAAACAATAAAATTAGGCTTCATGAAGCAATATAATCTAGCTAAAAGCGCTTTGAAATAGAAAGTATCAGATATGTGTCGTTATTCCCCTGGTAGCACTGAACAACAGAAACACCACTAGGAAAACAGTGAGGAGCGTTGCTTCTCTGAAGTGCAGAGAGTAATGTTCTGGAACCTACGGAGGAACTTTGAAGTTGCAGCTGAAATGTACTTTTAGCCGAATCCCCATTTGCAGGAGATTGTGCATTTAGATTCGGTTTTTAATAGATCCTTACTCAGCACTTTTTCTCGTCAGCAAAATCTAAATGATTTTTGCAAATAAATCACTGCACATCCTATGTGCAGCGATGCTAAATCCACACATGCGCACAGTCCTCGTTACCCTGAGTCCGTATCTGCAAATTCACTGACCTTTGAAAGTCCAAAATCAACACCACGTCACATGCACCCCCAATGGAGGCGGACCGAGGTTGACGCTCTGCCTTGTTTCGACTAGCATACTATAACCATGACCCGTTTAGTGCCATGTCGTGGTCTGTTTGGTGCCATGTCGTTAGCATTTGGGTGCTTTTTGTTGGCAATTTCGCTGCTTAAAATGGCCCCCAGGGGGCAATGCAGATGTGCTGTCTGTGTTCCTGAGTGCGGGAAGGCTCTCATATGGAGAAAATAACACGTGTTAGATGAGCTTCCTTCAGGCCGGGGCCATGGTGCCATTGGCCGCAAACCTCAAATAATGAGAGTTGACGTATGTACCTCTTGCCTTTAGAAGGATTCGTCCTCCTTGGGCTGCTTTGGGCTCTCATTTCTGTGACCTGCCCCATTGATTGGCATTTCAAGGCAACCGTGGAGTTTCTAATCCACCTGGGACAGCACCCAGCATAGCTCCTACACTAACATCCTTCTTCATCCTCTTCAGTTCGCTCAGTGCCGAGAAGAAACACAAGTACCTTCTAACTATTCTGCAGCCCTCGCCCCTGAATCAAGTTAAAGGGTTGCCTGAGCCTCTGGTTTTTAAACATGGGTGCATATGTGAAACACCTGGGAAGCTTAAACAGTTACTGCTGCCTGGGTTGTGATTTAATTGGTAGGGGCTATGACCTGGGTGGTAGGATTTTGAAAAGCTTCCCGGGTGATTCAGATCTGCAGCAAAGTTTGAGACCCTTGGGCCTAAATCACTGGCTTGGTTCTGCCGCAGGGCCAGGGCATGCACTCTGCGACCACAGGTCTAGTATTAGTAAAGGCAATCGGCGTTTTAGTAACATTGCATATTCAGGATACCTCTGCTTTTAAATTTTTTTATTTTATTTTTGAGAGGGAGAGACAGAGCGTGAGCAGGGGAGGGGCAGAGAGAGAGAGGGAGACACAGAATCCGAAGCAGGCTCCAGGCTCCGAGCCGTCAGCACAGAGCCCGACGCGGGGCTCGAACCCACAAACTGCGAGATCATGACCCGAGCCGAAGTCGGACAGCTCAGCCGACTGAGCCACCCAGGCACCCCCAGTATACCTCTGCTTTTAAAGCTATGGGGTATTCAGGAAAAGAGTCAAAAAGCTTTCCTAGTGCATACCCCCCCCCCCCCCTGCAGGGCTAGAGAGGCATTAGAAGGAGCACAGAACTGGTGTCTAATTAGCTGAGGGGGATTAGCTCATAAGTCTCCCCCAGGTGAAAGGACTTAATGCCCCAAGCCAAACTAGCCAATTAAGTTACAAAAGGAACTAGCTGTTGAGTGAATTACAGACTTCTCATCCTCTCTATTTTATTATAATGGACTTCAAGCCATTATAAATGGAGCAGTCAGTGTGGTTACTTTCTTTTTTACTGGGGTAGATTGAACCACTATTTCTACAAAGAACTCTTTGTAATTGGAATTCATGATCCAGATTTCACCAGAATCAATCACAAACTTTTTTTTTTTTAAGTTTATTTATTTTGAGAGAGAGAAAGAGAGAGGCAGAAGCAGAGGGAGAGAGAGAGAATCTCAAGCAGGCTCCGCACTATCAGCACAGAACCCAACGTGGGGGTTGAACTCACGAACTGTGAGATCATGACCTGAGCAAAAACCAGGAGTCGCATGCTTAACTGACCGAGCCACCCAGGTGCCCCTCGATCACAACTGTGAATGACCCTGTGTATTTCATTCCATTTTATTCCAGGTGGCTCAGTGACAGCACAGAGTGACCGTATTTTAATAGGTGGCCAGTGTACCTAAAACATTTGATAAGAAGCAGTCCTCAAACAAGAGTCAAGCGCCGAACTGACTTACCACTTTTCTTGCTTAAAGTATCAGATGGTTTACTGCCCACACATCA